TCTCTCATACGTTTTCGCAAATTCGGTCCCTTTCCTCCGCTTGTCGGGCCCAACCTCCCTGCCAACAATGAACTTTGCAGATGCAGCTGGCAAAAAAACACAAGAAAATCCATTTTTCATCATTTTCAGAGTGGGTTTAACGATGTCTTTTTAACGATATGTCGCTCATCACCCATGTCCTCGTGTCCCAGACACCAGGCCGGGGCCCAGGGACCGGGCCGTGGCCCAGGGACCAGGCCGTGGCCTAGGGACCAGACCGTGGCGCGGGGACCAGGTCGTCGCCCGGGGACCAGGCCGCGTCCCTGCATTTGGCTACGCCACAGTCAGTCTACATCACAGCAGCCAGTCCGCACCTCAGGAACAAACGCGCGTCCCAGGGGACCTTGCCGTGCGGCCCGGCCGCCTGGCCCGTGTGTGTCCAGGCCACGTACCGGAGGGTGGGCCGTTTGTTCGCCGGTCGGCGGCCGATGCGGGGAGAGGCGGCGCCATCAGAGGGGCGGCAGTTAGCGGCGGTGTAGCAGAGCCGGTGAATGCGGGCACTAGTGGCTGGAGGTGCCATTCAGAAGGCCGCTGATGGCTGGCGGTGCCATTCAGGCGGACCGGTCGCTTTCACTGAGCCGCCGGAGGCTCGCGCCCATCGAGTGCGTCCGTACTGCCGTGCTGAAGGAGCAGGCGACCGCTCCTGACCCGATGATGGAGCAGACGACCGCTCCTGGTGCCCTGACGGAGCAGACCGCAGCTTCTGATTCCTGAGGGCTGTTTTGTACCCCCCCCCCCCCCCCCCCAATCCCCGGTGAACCCGACAAAAGTTCCTCTGTAGTCGGAATCGAGTGCAAGGCGCATTACTGGCACTACTTTAAGAACGAGCGTCGTTAAGTGAGAACTGTCCCAATCATGCCCGTTTCAGCGAAAGTTGGTGTGGTTGTTGTCGCAGCTGCTTGAACGCATCCTCAGCCAATAACCTCAAATGGTATACCGGCCACCAGCTGTGCTTTGGCTTCACGCAGCACAGTCGATGCGAGATTTTGCGTTACAGCAATAGACCATATCGTAATGACAGGCCACATCAGCAACAAAATGTATATTGCTTTGCGTGGATCTGACGATGCAGACCTAAGCGGTCTTTCGCTTTCTTTGTGCTATGCATGACTCAGACTCATCCTTTGCGCAAGCATTCCTGTCTTTAATCTTAGCGCTCCTCAGGAATGATTTGGATTTACCCTATCATTATCACTCTCTAATCATGTTATAAACGAGGCTGTAGTCCGTCTTCCGTCACCCAGCGTCCTGTATGGCCACACTATTCTTCTCATGAATCAGATGTTTATTCAAACAGTCCCTGACCGTTCTCTCATACAGCTCCTACCGTGCCTTTCTGTATCTCAAACTGTTCTCCTGTGCAGCCTCAACCGGTCACCTTCCTCACCAGCTCCAGCTGTCCTCCTCCGCAGACCCAGGCGTCCTCTCGCCTGCGCGGTACGACGCCCATTCAGCACTGCCTCCATTCTGTCCGCGTCCAATCGCTGAATGGCTGCGCTCGAGCCTGCCTCGGACGAGCACATTGTGGCGATGCCGGCCGCCCGGCCCGGCCGACGCGACCGATTTCACGCGCACAATGGTCCGCCTCGATCACAATAATTCAATATCATATGATACAAATATTGTGGTGGGGAAGGGTGCGTTAAATGGTTTCATTTGGGCCGCCGGCGCCGGCCGGCCGCCACCGCCAGCGCCACGGCCAGCGCGTGGCCGGGAGGCGCGGAGACCGACGTGCTGCGTCAGGAGACAACGCCGGCCGGCCGGCGGCGAGAGCGCCGCGGCCAGCGCGTGGCTGGGGGGCGCGGAGACCGACGTGCTGCGTCAGGAGACAACGCCGGCCGGCCGGCGGCGAGAGCGCCGCGCGGCGCGGCGGACGGCAGAGCGGCAGGGGATGGCGGGCCATTGCAAGACACCGCCGTTGACGACCACACTGAGGTCGAGGCGTGCGGTAATGCCGGTCAGATCACGGATGGCCACTGATGCCCTGCTGACAAGTAGCTGTCAGATTACAGCCAGAAAGTGGCCATAGCGTCTGCTAATTAAAGTGAAGGCCCTCGATAAGAAAGTCCTCGTGCGCAGCTGCCGTTCTATTAACAAACAACAAAAACGGCGCGGGCACGATGGCGGATGCCAGCGGCTCGCCACAAGCGGAGAGCCTGACCAGTTTTTGCCAGGAGTCCGCCGACAGTAATGCCAAGACGAGACTGTTTTGAACAATTAGGTCGTAAATCTGTCGAAGGACGCACGCCCGTCCGAGCGGCCAACATGGCCGACAGCCGTGGCCATTTTGGCGGAGGTATCACTCTGTGTGATCTGTTTTCTCATGGCCCCGATAAGGATCTGGGAACGAGAGAGCCGTGTCCTCCATACATTATGCAGGCGACGTGATGGAGGCTGTCACGGACATAGCCGTCTTCTTCCTTTGAATTCTTGGCTTATTCCCAGGTTTGGTGGAATGTTTCAGTTTTCTGGATGCGATGGGAATTGCCAGACATTTCCCAGCTTGTTCAGGATTCTTTCTGGACCGCGCTCGGCCATTTTTACGTAGATATTTTAAGGATTTGTGAGCAGATGGCAGCCTGAAATCGTTAATTAAACTACCCGCCTGTCCCCATTGTAACAACGCTTTTAATTAAAACCGTTCTCTTCTCCGGCTCATTGCCGACAATTTCAATGTCAGCTGGTCATGGGAAGCAGAACACGGTTTTTTGTTGTGGGTGAACTAACAAGGTATTTCGTTAGTGACCCGTGACTGTCACAGCGTGCTGCAAGTCAGAGAGCAAATTGCGCTGCGTTTTGGATTTCGCGTGTCCTGACACATTTAGGACTATCCCCTTGGGCCACTTATAAGCGATCTGCCGCATTTTCTTCACGTAACGAGTATTCATCAAGTTTATGTAAATCGGCACCTGTAGATGGATAGCTACCTGGGGAGTGCTACAGCTTCACGCTCGTGAACGGGTGTCTGTCTTCATCAGTGGCGATGTCACTCCGATTCCCTTCACATTTCCTCGGTGCGTCGCCCGGAGAACACCACCATATCCGCGCCGCTCGCCGCCGCTCGGTCAGCTGTTAACGTCACGTGACGAACACCCATGGCGGTTAAGCCGTGGCGCCCTCAACAGAGGGGATTGGAAGCAAAGTTGGAGTGGTTCCTCGGGCGGGCCTTTGCCGAAAGCTTATCTGAAATGGAATGGGCCAAATCCTCCCCCGCAAAAACGCTGCGTTGTAAAAAGAATGTCGCCTGTGTGTACCGCACAGGTAATGGCCGATGTCAGGAAGGGTGACTCAAACGCGCGCGAAGAATGGAACCAATTTTCCGTTTGGGCGCTCTGGTTCACATGCATTATTCGTCTGTGGTCTCAGCACGGCGGTTTTAATCAGCATTCCAAGCTTCGCGCGAGTGTATCCGTCAGAATGTGCGATTAGAAAATTAGAACAGCACGTACGGGTTCTCTACGTTAAGTGTCTGTTGCCATAGATGAGTGCTGAGTTTTTTCCCTTCCCAAAGCGTGGAGAAACTGGCCTCAAAATTTGATTCACTAGCACTCAGGCATATCGCATGCAACAAAACAACACATAATATGTCACATCGCTATATTTCATATATATATATATATATATATATATATATATATATATATATATATATATATATACTCATTTGTTCACTTACCGCCTGCCAACTGTACACTGACATGAACTCGACGGTTTCAAGTCTTCAGAAAGCTCTGTCAGACATGAAAAACGTCATATCTAATCTACATCGCTGGCCCCATAAGGAATCTTCGGAATACATCGAGCGCTGTTCCCCAAATGTACTTCTGAGGGTATCACTCAAATTTCTGCATATGGTAAAGACGAAGTTCTGGACAGGAATATTGGTCTTTAACTTCACAGATGTGCCCCAAGGTAGTTCTGATATTTTAGTGCCAACTTATCTTAACTCTTTAGTGATGTTCCAGCCCACCTCTTTTCCCATACGGGTAGAATGCTTCGGACAGATCCAAGTTTTGGTATTATCAAGATAAGTATAGAAGGCAATGAACGGCTCATAGCTTCAGGTCAACTTCCGCCTGCTTTGTACGTTTAAATTTGAGACAAGGAAAGGTAACTAACTCAACAACCTGCGGTGTCCAATAATAAGTGCATGCATTGCCATAAGTTTAGTCTGAATCTGGGCTCTCCATCTCGATGCATTCTCTGATTGATTTTGTGTCTATTATTTCACCCGATGATGAGATCCAGGAGCATTTCGGTAGCGTCTCAGACGAACAAAACAAAAAAACTCGACTGGGCCAGACGTCTGGGATGAAAATTGTTTCTATGGGCCTTGTGATAGTTTTGATGTTACGTAGTTATGTTCATAAAGTAAATGATATTATCAACTTTTTTGCATAGGACCCCAGAGTGGCTTTTGGTATAAAACAGGTTTATTCCAGAAAACGCAGGATCTATTGTGGCTATATTCAACGTGCTAGGCTAGCCAATGAAAACTGGCCATCCGAGAAACCAGTGTTTATCACATTGTATATCCGTTCTCAACTAGTAGGGTTAAGGCATTTTAATTGCAGAGTGAGAAGCAAACAGGTGCTAGAAACCAGTCGTGGATGATGCCGGACTTTGACCATGACATTAGGAGCCTACGGACAGAAGGCTTGACTGGGTCCACCTCCCCGGAATCAAAGCTGGCCACCACGCCACCTCCTCCGGCCCTTCAACGCAGGCAGGCCGGGCGGCGGCCGCGGCCCGCGAGCTGCCCGACCCCGACCCGCGCCCCACGAGCTGTCCGACCCCGACCCGCGGCCCACGAGCTGCCAGACCCTGACCCGCGCCTCGCGTGCTAACCGACCCTAACCCACGCCCCACGAGCGAACCGACCCTGATCCGCGCCCCACGAGATGCCCGACCTTGACCCGCGCCCTACAACCTGCCTGACTCTGACCCTCGCCCGCCGGCAGGTCTCCTCCATCAACCGGGTGCTGCGCAACCTGGCCACGCAGAAGGACCAGCAGCAGCATCAGCACCAGGAGAGCGTGTACGACAAGCTGCGTATGTTCAACGGGCCGACGGCGGCCGGCTGGGCCTGGTACCCGGGTGGACCGCCGCCCTCGCACCTCTCTCTGCCGCAGACGCCCGGCCACGGCCTGCCCAGTCAGCTGCCGTCCAGGGAGGACATCAAACGAGGTCAGTGCCCGCGGGGTGGCCGCGATTGGCCGTGTCTGGCCACGCCTGACATCGGTTGACCCCGTCTGACCCGGTCTGATCCCATTTGGTTCCATCGGACACTATGTGACCCCGTCTGACCCCGTCCGACTTTTTCCAACCCCAAATAGCCCGTATGACTCCATCTGACACATCCGGCCCCATCTGACCCCGCCCGACACTGGATAGCCCGCGGATAGTGGGCTACTCGTTAGAGGGTTTGGAGCGTGTTCGTGGGCGTGGTGAGTCGCCGTGCGGTAGTCTGATTTGTTGGGATTCATGCTTTCAGCATTGATGAAGCTTTTTTCCTCCACCCTGATTCTTCAGTAGGCAGGAAACACGCTGCTTTATAGATTGACTGGATTTTTTAAGGCAGCCTTGAATGATGAACCAACGACCGGGAGACGGAACAGGTGGTGAGTGAATAAGGAATGCGTAGGAAAAAGGAATGCCACCTACCCCATCATTTTTTTGTACTTGAAAAAGTGAACAGTAGTAGATTCCCATACCATGGATAAATGTAGTGGAAACGTGAGTTGCTACGCACATATGTAGCCAGAAAATGCTCTTTTTTGATAATTTCGCTTCAAAGAACAGGTACCAGATTTGTGGCCGACGGAGAACCATTCTTGAACGTTTTGCTATTGTTCGGCAGCAGGTCAGTGAAGTGTTTTCAAACCTTTTTCAGCAAGTTTTATAAAAAAAGGTGGCGAGCAGATGATGAGCAGATAGCGAGCACAAGAATGCTCTGGCCCTAATTGAAAACAGCAGCCAATTCGCAAGCACACCTTACATGGTAATGTTTGACATTACCTCGTGTTGTGTACCTATGCTACTTGCATTTGATAGCTTGGTTGACTAGAAAGGCTTTGCAAGTTAAGTTCAACTGGAACGAATGTAAAATTGTGGTGCGTGTTAAGGGTGTGCTCTCAATATCATCGCTTACCAAAAGATAACTTAACAACGTAACTTCTGGCTACTTTTACGTTTTTCAGACTTGACAATGTGGCCTAAACTCCACGACAATTGGGTGCCAATACGTGATACTCGCCCCCTCCCCTATCATAGGGTTAATCTTCAAGCCAAAAAATCTCCTGAACTTTGGAATGTAAGCTGACGGCTGGAAGTCAATTTGACCGCCAGTGCTCATAATCATAACTTTGAATTTGTGCGGCATGCTATGTTTGTCACGCGTGATGCAAACCTGCCTTGTGTCGAACAGTATACGATACTGTGCAGATTCGCGATTCTATCGCCTCACGATGGCACACCAAAGACAGTTTCTTGGAATTACCAGGGAACCAAATGTGACCTAGTGCTCTCTGTCTGCTATCGCTGTGTAAAAAGCCACTTCATCATCGATGGTAATCATAAAATCAAACAATTGAGCGCTTCAAAAAATATTCGGCTAGTTGTTGTGATCAAACAGCGATTTCAATATGAAAGTTTCGCAAAGAAATGACCAACTTATTCCGCCATGCTGCACATGCCGTTAAACTCCAACCAATCACATCGAAGTGTGCAGGCGCCGCGGCCGTCGCACATATCATCCATCAGCCAATCAGAGCGTCACCCGCCGCTGGGTGATTTCATCGCTAATTGCAAACTTAAAACATACTTCAAACTAATGGCTTCAAAGTTTAGCAGTAGATCAATCTAGGTACTGCAAACAACACAGTAGCCCCACGCTGTTCACGGTAAGACTACCTCAGCTTAAATCTTGATATAATGCCCTTGGGTACCTATTTGTACCATTGCTGCCGCTATTTGATTTCACCGCAGCATGCGTACGCATTTGCAGTATGTCAAAGCTATGCGATGACTTTGATATCTCTTATCTGGATCAAATGTACGAGACGCCAATTTTTCCGTATGTGACCAACCAAAATTATTGATTATCATATGTCCTGTAGCATATATTTGCTACGTAAATGTTTTACGTGAATCGAATGGTTCTTATTTTGAAAGTGTTATGCACAACAGTGCTGGGATGCCTCTTCAGAACAGTGGAATAACCTTTTCAGCTCCCAAATGTGTAGTGTATGTCATTGATCTAACCTTCATTTTAGTGTGCTTTGACCTTTGGTTGATTTTCGACCATGATGCACTTGAGAACAAAAGGTTACCGACCCGAAACTTACGTACCTCCCAAAACTGCCTTTGATTGAGCCTTCGGTATAGAAAAGTGCACAAAATATATTATGCTAGGCCACTGTAATACCTTTGCCGATAGCAACAAGCCAACATTTCCCATTTCCACCAGCAATCCCGCCGTCTGTGTGATAATCTCTGCCCTGCCGAGCGCTGTTTGCCTTGTTGCTCTCAACGTTGGCGCATGTATATTGGGGCATTACCATCGAGGCGCACGGCAGCCATCCATTGCTGCGCGCTCGGCTGTCGTCGGCGGCGGCCGGGAACGCCCCCGGCACCCCGTGGCCGCCGCCGCGCGCGCCCACATCAATCTCCGATAAAACAGAGCAAAAAATCGCCGCCGCGCCGACCGCTCTCGTTTGCATTGGAAGCGCGCTCCGTGGGGCGGAATTGACGTCATCAGAGTTGCAGATGAGGCGGCGCGCCGCCGCCCTGCGCGCCATGATGAAGTGAAGACAAATCCGGCGCATGATTGATCCGGCTCATTACTGCGGCGCACACACAGGCCGCGCGCCGCCTGACAGACGGAGACGGCCGCGACGCGGCGGAGGCAAACACGCCGCAGAAGGGCGCCGCGTAATCCCGGGCCGAGTGGTCGCGGAGAGCCGTCACCATTGTGTCCGAGCGGCCGGTAAACAGGGCGCCGCGCGGGGGTGCGGGAGGTGTTTGGCTGGGAGCGCGGACCGACGGGAGGGCCGCCGAACACGGCCGGCCGTCACGGCGAATTTGGGCTCCGCTTGCAGGCGCAGCTTTCCAGCGAGCTTGTGTGATCGGCAGATACCAGATGCGCTTTAGGATAGCCGCCTTCCGCGGCCCGCCAATCGAGAGACCACGCCGGCCCAGATAACCAGGAGTGCCCTTTGATGAACGGCAGATAGACCGCCGCCGGGAAACAGCCGGCCATGATTTGATCCTTTCAACTAGAAATTGCTTTGAAAACTTCAATTTCCGATGCGGCGGTTTGGGAATTGGCGGCGCTGTTTTCGGTCGTGTCGTCGCCGCGCCGCCGGCGCCGCGCCGCGTCCGTTCACTCGGGTGCGGCGCTCCGGCGGGGGTCATCAAACGGAGGCCCGGCCGCCGCCGCCGCCGCCGCTGCCCCGACTATTGAGTTAACGACAATCCCATTCTAGTCACTCGTTGGCTGATTACGCCGTGGTTGTATTGTGGTTAAACTAAGCGCGCCGCGATCGTCAAATGAAATCATCTCTCCCAATGACGGAAATAACCACTCGTCCCGCTCGAAATTAGCTCCCCCGCGGTCGCCACGCGTCCCGCGGCGGTGACAGCGGCGACAGCGGCGGCGCGGCGGCGGCGGCGCGGCGGCGGCGGCGGCGGCGGCGGCGCGCGGGCCGTCGCCGTGCCGGTGCAGTGGGCCGGCCTTGGCAGGTAGCAGGCGGTCGGCATGCAGCGATGGCTGCCCGCGCGCCCCGCCCCCGGCCGCCGCTGCACCATCAGATAGCGGCGCGCGCCGTCACGGGATGTGTCACCGGCCGGCTGTTTGTCGCCGGGCGGCGCCCTCTGATCCGCCGCCGCCACCGCACGTATCGCGCCCATCTGCCGGCTGCACAAAGGGCGCGCTCGACAACAGCGCGCGGCGCCACCGCGGCCGCCGCGGCCGGCCAGCGGCCACGAGCTGCGCGTCCCGCGGCTCTCCTCGAGCGCCGGCAGCCCAGCACCAACGGCTGCACAGCTGGCGACGTTTTTGCAGGGCGCGGTATTTTTGGGTCGGCCACGTTTGCAGACGCGCTTTTGTGTGGCCGTACGTGGCTTCTGTTGGCCTTTTGTTCGCGACGCTGGCGCCATTGTTTGCAGCTCCTTTCGGGTGTGTGTTCCACTCGTGTGCTGTGATGAACAGAGGCGTATCAGGTATTCGCTGGAGGCGGTGCACCGCCAAGAAACTCCTGACAGCGGCACAACCAATCATTTTGAGAACCATTTGTCGTGTTTCAGATCACTAATGTAATATGGCGGCAGTAGGGGCGTGATATTTCCGGACATTTTTCGGCTTGTTTTAGTAATTTTGTACAACAGTATTCCAGGCTTATGCTGAAATGGTCAGAATTAATAATTTATTTCCTTATTTTTCTTGTGGCGCTAACGAATTTGTCTCGTAGAAACGAATACAACTAAGAATTGTAAGCCTCTTGTCGTGTTTAGACGTTTATATCTGTGTTGGTCGCCTACTCTTGTAGAACGGCGATGTTGGTGAAGATGGAACACGCAGTCTATATTTCGGTTTCATTATGTCCACAGCACTGTTCATGCCTGACAGTATGTAGCGCCGACTGCATTGTACACGCGCACCTACCATACGCCCGCCGCGAGCTTGTCTGCCGTTCTTTGTTGACACGCGGCTGCGCTGTATTTCGTCCTCCACTCCTGTCCGGCGGAGCTGTCTGCCACTCGGTGTTACTGTCCGACTGCGTTGTTCACCTCTCGCCACCACTGTCCGATCGCGATGTCTGGTGCTCTCTAGCGGCGAATTCCTTTCAGCAGACCTGACCGGCGGCACCCTTTGACAAACAGCGCTAATCGTAATACTTCTGTTGGCATGGCTCACGCATTATCATTGGAGGTGAAGTTATCCGGGAAAATACCGAACAAAACAGCCCTTAGCCATTCACGGCCGCGAACAATGCTGCTGGCTCGGCCATTGAGCCGTGGCAAGAGTTCCCAATCGAGTTTAGATGGCCAGCCCGCCCCTTTCTCAATGCCATCAATAGGTGTAGCTTTGATACGAGAAGCCTTCCAAAGGCTGCCGCTATCCGAGATTATTTGGGGATTATATGCCGGGGTTCAATAGGCCGGCGGCAGGGCGTCCAGTGAATGAGAGAGAGGCGTGGAGCCTAAGAGTAAGCAGAATTGGAAACATTTCAGAGTTCACTTGGTGGCTTGTTATCTTCGCCGTGAGTTTGCACTAGGGATGCCGTTTCTTATGCAGTTAGCGGTCCATCACCCAGCTTTGGCTCCAGCCCCCTTCATTTTTGCGTCATTTTTTACTGCTCAGCATCTGCGAGACTGCATCTCTGGTTCCGACATCGTCTGATAAACTATCGCTCCTGCTCTGAAGCCAGAGACGCTAGGGACACATTTTGTGCGTCAAAACACGCCAATAAATGCTCCATGTATGGGTTGCTGATTATTTGGGTGCGATTGCACGGTATGCTGGAGAGATATCCTCTTAAAACCTTAGACGATCACATCAACCCCTCATCAGGATAAGGGTTGAGTTTATTCAGCACGAATGTTTGACATCTTTGTTCTAATCCATGCTGGTGAAAATTCACGATGGTATGCTACACAATGCAATCATGCGCTAGATAACATGAAAACCGTCTCGCAAAAACGAGTAGCGCGGTAAAAATTACGGGTTCTTAGGTTGCAAACAACAGACCTTCAATGTGCCCAGTTATCTGTTATCTGGCAATCATTGCAAAAACTTGGCGCTTAAAGGCAGTGTTCATGGGCAGAAGGTCTTTCTCGCCCACATCACGTTCAAAACTTCGCCTTTTGCACTGATACACGAAGAACAGTTTCCCCCAAACCGCAAACACGTGTGGCGCAACTACCTCGAGGTGAACGCCCGCTGCATAGGCTGTCCCGCGCGACATGGCCCGCGGACACGCCCGGTACCGGCCTGGTCCGGTTCAGCCCGGCTTGGCTCGTGTGCCAGGCTTGTCGAAGCATGTCGTCGTGAGGGTCTAGTAAACTCCGTCTGCTATGTAGGTTAGTGCGAACTGCGCTCAAAGACGTAATTGTGGACCTGTATTTTGTTGCCGGTCACATATGACCGCTGGAGGCCCCTCGCTGCGCCGCCAGTCGAGGCAGGCTGTCAGGCCCGGGGCTGCCGGTACTGCTGAAAAGGTGGAGCATGTGTCGGAACTTGGCAACAGCTTGTCAGCATTACTTCATCGGTTCGTATTCGTGTGTCCGACTCACCAAAGCCTCTCGCAAAGCTTTCTGCTCGAGTTATCTTGAAATGCATCGAGCACCCCGGCGCTAGAGCCCTGGTGTCATGTGCCTGATTTTAATCCAGCTTAGAGCGTTTTGGCCGGCATCTGCAGCCTCGTGGACACTGAATCCGCATCGTTTTCATTCTCGTCTCAGAGGCGTAAACACGTACCTAAGAGTGGATGGGAAGACCTTTATCTAGGCCTGTTCTTAACGATCATGACCGTGGGGCTAATATGGAACCTTCGCGAAAGTCGAAATAGCCCCGGCCCGCCCGCCTCCCTCTGCCCCTTCCTCCGCCTCGCATCCATTCCCACGTTACTGTCTTGCCCGATAGCTTTGTACCACAACCTGCTGCAGCTGTTGTCCCAAAAAGCTGCAACACACATGAGTGGAGGGCTGCAATCCTAGAAATATTGTACTTGCTACTGCTGCCGCCAGGAAAAGCTGGCCGCCGTCCAGTTTGTCCGTTTCTACTTGGTTGTACTTTGTCCGTTTGCTGAGCGAGCAGCGCGTGCAAAGGTTCTTGATTTTGTCAGCAGATGGCGCCAGCGAGCCGACCTCGGACGGAAACTCGGAGCACAACTCCTCGGCGGAAGAGGACTCGCAACTTCGGCTGCGGCTTAAGCGAAAGCTGCAGCGAAATCGCACGTCTTTCACTAACGAACAAATCGAGTCATTAGAAAAAGGTGAGCCTACGCGGCGGTAAAAGTCCGTGATGTTCGCGACTCGGCCGTAGAGACGAGCCTTGTGTGTTAGCCTTTCGCTGCTCTACGGGGCCATGTCCTCTCCTTATCATCATTTTATTAAGCATGGAGCCTTTGAGCGTATTGCGAGAGACAGCATTAGCAAACGAGGCAATGACGTTTGTATTTAGTTGTTAATTGTACCCCACCTAAAAGGAGTGTCATCTTGTATGGAGCATACCGATGTTGGGATATGCTAGGGTACATACCAAGAAGTACCAGTGTACACGCCTTGACAATGGAATCATATCCGTGTGTTGTTTTTGTTCAAAATGCAGTAGCGTTTATATGGTTTTGTTTCTTACGGCAACCTCGCACTTACATTATCTTAAACTGAGACCCTAGCGAGTCTGATTCATTCGTCGCAACTGAGCTCGAAAGCTGTCACGGCGTGCAATTATTTCTAGTTAATATATGGCCAAAAGACCAATGCCCAATAAACCTTATCGCATCTACCTCATTAGCGTTCGCTGATTGGCCACACCATGATAGCACATGCAGGAGATCTCTATGCGGGTGAACATAACGGATTAACATCACTAAAAACATCTTTGCACGCTGCGGGCGCACTCAGCTTTTTGGAAGGTTCTGAACATGAGCACGTGTTTTCAACTTCTTTCTTTTTACCTGTCTATGCCAATTTTCTAGCTGTAGACAAATACTTCCATGCTTAAATCCCTATATACATACATGCATGTATATGTACATATATATATATAGGCATACATATGTAGACAAATACTTTCATGCTTAAATTCCTATATACACGCATGCATGCAAACCTATGCTGATCAACCACTGCATTTCAAATTACTTCGCGCCGCATTTCACGAAACAAATGTTGCATCATCAGGCAGCAAAAACACACACGTACAGTGCGTACGTACGTACGTACACCATAATGGTTCAAAACACGCCAAGATACAGACAAATTAAGAATACCACACAAGTGAGTGCAATAGCTCACGACCCACCCCGAATTTCACAGCCATATTTCATTTCATCACAGTTTCTAATGGAAATGAATACATCATGTTATTTGGCGCTGGACGGGCCTTAAGAATGTACAAAAACTCTGTTTCATCATTTTATTCTCCAAACAAGCGAGGAATCTTATCATGCCCAGATTCTAAGATTGGAAACCAAAACTGAAGCTTCACATGTAAATAAACATTCTCACATGTGAGCGGGGTCAAGTTTTACAACTAGTTTTCCCGTCCGGGTAAGTTTACCTAGTGCTGCTGAATGCGACTATGCAAGCTCCGAAGTGCGGAACGTTTGTAGGATGTTCCACACGAGATACAACGAAACTGGCGTGCTACTGTCAATTGACGGCATTTCGGTAATCCATCCCAATGTTTGAAGAAGGAACCTCCTAACAACGAACTCACCAAATTAATCTTAGAACCTTAGAATGGATATAATTTTGATAGCAGGTTGATCAACTCACGTTTGAGACTTTTAGAATGTGAGCCAAATTGATGCAAGGTGTGCTTTTATACGTAAATATAACACACACACACACACACACACACACACACACACACACACACACACACACACACACACACACACACACACACACACACACACACACACACACACACACACATATGCATATATATATATATATATATATATATATATATATATATATATATATAGCATACACGCGGGTAAAAATTTGACAAGGGGAACCTGTCTCCAGCGCCCCCTCCCCTAGCTACGCCCTGCCACACGGTGCTGACGCGGGCTGTCCCCAGTACCCACCCCCAGCTGACGCGATATGTGTCTCGGCAGAATTCGAGCGGACGCACTACCCGGACGTGTTCGCCCGCGAACGGCTGGCCGAGAAGATAGGACTGCCTGAGGCCCGCATCCAGGTAATGATGACCCTGACAGGGCTTCGGGACGAGACCTTCAGTGGTAGCGGGACGGGAGCTTCAGTGATCGTGGGCCAGGAGCTCAGCGGCAGTGGGCGGCGGGATGGGAGCTCAGTGGCGGTGGGACGGGAGCCTCAGTAGTGACAGGACGGGCGTCTGTGGACACTTCTCCGGCGGAATGTGCGGCTCAAGCTGGGCGGTGTTCAGAGCCCGCCCAGAGCCATGCTTTGCATACGTGTGTAAATTGGGCTGAAGGTCAAGGTCGCGCGTCGTCGCGAGCACCAGCCGGTTGCCGTTTTCCCCGCGGAAGTAGGAAGCGACGCGAACGACTGGGCTACGCATTAAATAGCTCAGGAAGTGACCTTCCAGGTCGAACAACGCAAAACTTTCGCCTTGAAGAATATTTAAGTAGCTTGCCCGGCACGTGCCTGGTTCAACGCACGACAGGAAGCGTCCAGGCGACGGGCCGCGGAGTTTAGTAACAGCGCGCGAGCTGCCTGAGGGGCGCGACCGGCAGTGGTCGGACCGACGAGCCGACCTTGGTCGCCGCCGCAGGCGCCGTCTTGAGCCGCGGCTCCTGCTGGAGATGGGGGTTGTCGTCAAGCTCTGTCTCGAGGCGCAGTCCCCGGTGTTCGGCGGGCCGGCATACCATTGCAGACCGACGCGTCTGCAGGGCTACTGTTTTGGCTGCCGGCGACTGCAACGCCTCATGACGGCGGGGCTTCGCTGCAGGCTTGTGGTCGCAGTGACGCGGACGCGACAGGGGTTGTTCAGAGCAGTTAGAGAAGAGCTGCGGAAACAGAAGTGCGGCCAGGCATGCAACACATGCGGCACGCCGTCCAGGGCTTCTGCTGAGCTCGAGTGTCATGCTTTCTTTGTTCAAGATGTTTGCATGAAATGAAATGGTATTTGGGTGTTTGTTACGGTATTGCGATCACTTAACGGACTAAATTGGTATCAAGCCTAGCTGCATAAGAAGTTTGAATTTCAGGACAACGTAGTACAAATCAGCATAACTTTACTTGCAAGCTCGTTCAGTTTCCTAATGTGATCATTTTTTAAACTAAATTTGAGCCATGTTTTCTGAAGTAACTAGCTTTATCCATTTGTGTCGTATTTGGACGCGTTCCATTTCAGCTTTCAACTGTATGCACTGAAAAAATAATTGCATGTCGCTCTTTGTGGCATGCACGGCTCAACTGTGAGCACACCATAGGCCTCGTAGAGCTTAAGTTGTAAGGAACTGATGCGATTTAAAAGACTTTTATAAAAACGAAGGAGTTACTTCTTGACGTAAAAAGAACAAAGTGAAAAATAAATCGCTCAGGACACATGCACATGCATAGTTACATGGATTAGAGACATCACCACCTTTGATCTGCGCATGAGGTGGAAAACTAGGTCGAAGTTCCGCCCTTGGGCGCCATTTTTGCCTCTATAAAACTCGTTGCAGCTTCACGCTACCTGGCATGGCCATTGTTCAAATCATTTAATTAGACCCTCCTTGGCTACCGGAGCTAAGCCAGGCGCCTTCCAATTCCATTAGAGCCGCATGCGATGTGACCAGCGGTAGCGTGACTGTTATGCTCCCTCTGATTGGCTGGCCGTCTGCGTCGGCGGCCCTCATTTGTTCGCGTCACTAGTGTCTGACCGTGATTGGTTAACAGGTGTGGTTCAGCAACCGGCGAGCCAAGTGGCGGCGCGAAGAAAAGCTGAGGAACCAGAGGCGTGGCATCGAATCTGTGGGCGTGTCGCACCACGCCTCGCCCGGCCGCCTGCCCATCCAGTCGGGCTTCAACGCAATGTACCCCTCGATACCGCAGCCCATCAGCATGGCCGATACGTACAGGTGAGCCGGCACTGAGGGCCGGCTGAGGCAGGAGAAGGAACGGCAATGCCCAGTACCTCAGGCAGCCGGTGGGTCTGTTGTGTGGAAGTGTCCCGCTGGATAGGTCATGCCTGCCACATGAGCTGCCGGAAATGCGACCGGTTAGATTTTGAAGCACTGCTACATAAATCGATAAGCACATAGAGACTCGTTTGGTGAAGTTATTGCCAGCACTTTTCTGTAATGGCCTCTCGAACGGCCCAAGGCATTTGTCACCACGCTGCGTGCTGCCGCTTATTGGTCGTGTGGGAACGCAGTCGTGTCCTGATGCTTGAATCCGGCTGTGAGCCGAGTCTGCGAACATCGGGTGACCTCTGTTTGACCTCCGCCCCCCTCGCCCAGCTCCATGTCCCAGTCGCTGGGCGGCATGACGTCGGCGGCTGCGGCTGCGGCGGCGGCGGCCGGCGCCGGCTGCCTGCAGCAGCGGGACACCGCCTACCCGTACATGTTCGACCACCTGAGCTCGCTGGGCAGCATGTCGTCCGGCTACGGCCGCTCCTCGTGCAACATGACGCCGCAGAGCTCCGGCCACGTCGGCTACCACGGCTCGGCGGCGGCGGCGGCGGCGGCGGCGGCGGCAGCGGCAGCAGCCGCGCCCTCGTCCAACAGTGGCACCGGTCAGTAGCCCGGGCGTCGATTGGGGTGCCTCCAATCCGCTCTCAGAGAAGCGCCAACAAACTGATATGAAACGCCAGGCGCATGAGGTTTGGACGCGTCGGGTGTTCTTATAACCGAATTTGCCTCAGGTTTTGATTTGAAGACCTGCCGCCTACACTGGTAGACACATTAGGCAACTGTGCTGCCAGGGTGTTGTTCTCTGGACTTCTTATGGCGTCACACGACGACAGTCAATGTCTGCGCACACCCACGCAGCAGTCGTCAGCTCAGGATGGCTGTTGAATTGTTCGGTAGATCAATTTCAGCGCTAAAATCCAGCAAGTAAGTGTGATGGAGGCTGCACACATGCCTGACGCATCGCAAAGGTTATATCGACCATACAACTAGTATTATTGTGAGGTAATGACTTCACGACACTACAGCACCTGGGTGCTATTCCGGGTTCTATTGTTTATTGGAAGGTATCAACGAAATCTTCCGAATGCTCTCTTTATGATAGCTGTCCTTGTTTGGTCTCAGTTCCGTGCTTGAGAACCACGGCTGACCGAGCAAATCTAACTCGAATAAGGAAAACACTCTTTTCCTAAGCGTTCCGGCGTCATTCGGACAAACCCGGACAGGCCCGGGCAGACCAGAATATATTCAGGCTGACCCGAACAGACCCGGACAGACCTGGACAGACCCGAACACGTCTGGATAGATTCGGAATGAACCGGACAGATCCGGACAGACCCGAATAAACTTGAACAGACCCAGTAAGGCCCGGACGGACCTGGACGGACTCAGGCAGGTCCAGGAAGACCTGGACAGACCCGAGCAGGCCTGGACAGACCTTGTCAGACCTTGAAAGACTTGGGCAGATCCGGACAGACTGGGGCAATCCGGCCTGACCTGGATGGACTTGGACCGATCCAGACAGACCTGGGCTGACGACCTAACCTGGACAGACCCAGACCGATCCAGACAGACCTGGGCAGACGGCCTAACCTGGACAGACCCAGACCGATCTGGACGACCATCACGCCTTCTGGAAGCTGATCTCCTTGCAATCGCTGATCGCGGCTTCAAGAAGTTTCAGTGAAAAAAGAAGTATTTCCGTGGTATTGTGCTGCATTAATTTGATGACATTTGCATGAAGAAGATTGATTAGGCTTGATCTTCCTTCTTGGTTGTGATATAAGCAATAAGCATCGTCCCATTCGATTTATATCCGAAAAGTAAACTGGCTGATGGCAAAAACGCTGCACAAAGCGGGCCAAACCTGGGCCCCGACATCGACGGCCCTTCGTCGCGGCGATGCGAGACCAACACCGTTCGATGCAGGAAATGACGGCAATCACACCAGCAAAGGCGTGACCTGTTGTGCCCAACCGGTCACACGTCATCAAACGCAAGCCATGGATCGGCCCATTTTGAGAGCTTTTGAGGACTGGTGCTCGATCTCGGCCACCAGAGCAGATGTAACATGAAGCCGACCCCATGAGGTGCCGCCCACATGTCGCGGGACAAGTTAAACACCGCCTTTTCCTCGGGACGCCGGTAACTGACTGGGAGACTGACGATGACATCTTTTGAGAATTAGTCTGGTCTCGCGCTCGCTGCGACCTGAGAGGGAGGGGCGGATGGGGGGGGGGGGGTCATCATGGAGAGCCAGGAGGGCGCGAGAGGGCCGAACGGCATGCAAACTGCGCAGGAATGAAGACAGTACACTATGACCCTCTTTCGCCCGAGTTGTTTGCGTGATTTTTTTCCGTACTTTGGTTTAAATCATGGAGAACATAGATCATTTCAAACTCATCGATCGACTCGGCTGAGATGATGAAGCCTGGCCTAATCCACAGTCAGCCAATCTTCACCTTGAGTTCTGAGCTAGTGCGCGAACGCTGCATCGGCGTTCTTTGCATGCTGAGCTCTCCTGAAAGACACATTCCGAAGCATTCCTAACGCCCATTTGTGAGGCTTTCCAAAGGCGTCTGGGCTCAAAAAAGCGTACAGATGTCCAGCGGCGTCCGGTGTCTGGATTTGTGCATTATCTGGTCGACTGCAGCTTTCCTACCTGTGCTCATTTCGCGCCACCTGGACGTCGCACGAGGTACCTCGCTGCTTTGTTGGCAATAAGCCACTCCAAAAGGGCAGACACTTTGGAGGCCCCTGCAGGCCACGGCGATGAGGTGATATAAGTACGACTTTAACTGGAGACAAAAGTGCCTGGGAAATGTGCAAGAAACTCGGAGGAAACGACGTCACTTCAAAGGAAACCGTACTCGGTAGCCAAACGTGCCGACCTCACTGACCGTCAAATCTGCGCCGATCGCCCGGGCGCGGCGTGCACCGGACCATGGCCGCCGGTGAGCTTTTGAAACGCCGCATGACAGCGCCGCCAACATCCGGCTTCAGCTGACATCACCATGGGAACAATGGCCGTCGGTTTGCAGCCAGGCCGAGCCGAGCGCAAAAACTGTGCACGGTAGCTCTTTTGACAAGTGGCGTTCGTGAGACCACACGTTGTTAGCGGCCAACTTCAAAGTGCAGGGGCCGTTCATCAAAGGGCGGTGCTTCGCCCGGTGCCTTACTGAGCGTCACGCGCTCTTTAGTAATTAATATCCGAGCACATGGGCGGGACGATCGATCCCCCAGTGCGTCGTCAAAAGACCCCGCCAGGGGGCTCCACAAGTGGACTCCTGAGGTGCTGTTGGGGCGATTTGGGTGGTCCAACAGCACGTAATTGTGGGGTTTGTTAGATGGTTGGCTGTTGCTAGAGAAGTGCCGTGGAAGGACCTCATTAACCTATGCAACGAAAACACTTAGCGGGATTCCAACGATAATTATTATCCGGGTACAACTGTTAACCATGGTTTTTATCAAATGTATCATGCAACTCGTTAAGTATATTATATTCGCATGCAATACCACGTCAGGGTTTGATCCATGTCAACGATATGCACAAACATAGCTATATCGAGGCAGATACATTTTAAAACTGTCTGCCACAAGTCAGGCGACGCGTGGTCAAAACTGTAGGAGCCTGGCCTCCCGATAACCCAAACACGGGAGCAAGGACGACAGGGACATAGTCAGTCGGGCGGCGAACACCGCCAGCACGCCAGTGAAAGCCCAAACCGGCGGCGATGCACGGACGCGATTGCCGAGCGGCGGCGCGCGCCCGGGTCGTGGCTGGCCGCTCCGGCCGCCCCAGTCCCGGTCGCCCGGTGGCCGTCCGGCCGCAGCAGATGCGAGGTCGCACATCGATCTGACCGCGTCAGGTGCGCGCTCGACGGGCCGCCGGTCCTCCCGGGCCCCGCTCGGCCTGGCGGAGAGGGCCGGCCGGCCGCCGGACCGGGCGGCCTTGTCCGGCGCCGGGAGGAGCAGACCGGCCCGGCCCGGCGACCGGCCGCGGCCCCCGCCGGCCCGTCACAAAAACATCAAACATGACGATCTCGCTGTCATTCGTCATTTACAGTCATTTTGATCACAAAGGGACTGCACACATAATTATGTCGATGCGTTTATCGCGTGGGGTTGGGGGCCTCCGCGATCACGATCAGCCGAGCGAACAGCGGCGGGCCCCTTCGTCAGGGATATCCGATTATCATCGTATTGTTCCCAACTGCTCACATCTGCTGTCGCTGAAGGCTTTGTCCAACACCCCCCGGACATGCAGGCGACACGTAAAATTGGGGACACGTTTTTGGCGAGCCGGCGTTGATGATGTAGCGCCGCAGACGTGGCGAATCGCAGCATGCAGCGGAGTGGCGTGAATGACCGAGCATCGCCCGGCGGGCAGGCGATCGATCGTCTCGGATCATGTCGACGCGGCGATGTGAACATCAAAAGGACGTTAAAAAGCGCCTTTACTGGACGGAAGTCCAGTCGTGTCAGTTGCGCGGTTGATTTCTCAACGCATGTTTAAGGAGCTTAAAGAACAGAGAGAACTAAGAGTCTTAAGGACTTCTTAAGCATTGGTGACGTAGAGCGCACGTTTCCAAAAAGTGCGAAATCCCCTTTTGAAGCCAACTAGTGCTGTTAAAGCTAACTAGTGCTAACACTTCAGTGTCTGCCATCTGTACTTGGTAGCCACCACCTGTGTCTAATATTATACCTGACAAATGAGGGCACTGGTAGTGCTTCATTCCTACGCATGTAATACACGATAACAAATCACAAGCTTCACTCATCCAACGCCAGAATGCTCTACCTCCCCAGCAATTACCAGCAATTACACCTCAGCCCGCGACGTGTGACCTTGCCATGCGGATGTCGTGTGACCTTGTGCGTGCCGCGCGCGTGACCCGCGCACAGCCCCGGCGTGTCCTCCGCATGAGTAACCGATGCGTGTTGTCCGCAGGCGTGCTGTCGGCCGGCCTGTCAGTGCCGCTGCAGATCCACAGTCAGAGCCAGCACGACCTGGCCGCCAACTACTGGTCTCGCCTGCAGTGACCGGACCTGCAGTGACGGGATCTGCAGTGACCGGACCTGCAGTGACGGGACCTGCAGTGACCGGAGCGGAGCTGCAGTGACGGGATCTTCAATGACCGTGCTGCAGTGACGGGATCTACAGTGACCGGAGCTGTAATGACGAGATCTGCAGGAACGGGATCTGCAGTGACGGGAGCGTCCTGGAACTTGGTCGCCATACCTCTGGCCACCATAGTCTGACCTCTGTCCAGGACGGGTGCTCGACAGCCCGGCCGCCTGCCTGACCTCAGGCCAGAGCAAGCACGGGTCAGCGCCGGAGGCTCACCCGCGGTGCGCCGCCCCCCGTCACCGTCGGTCGCGCCGCCTCTGCCGGCAGCGGCCGCGCGGCCGGCGGCGCCGTGTGATCTAGATATGGCCGCCCCGCCGCCCGCCCGCCCTCTCGCCCGGCCGGCCGGCCGGCCGCCACGACCGGCCGTCCACGGTCTCTGACCATCGGCGGCCATGCTTGTCGCCGGGCGGGGCCGCGCAGGTGGCGACACCTGTCTGACGGCGGCGGCCGCCCGGCCGGCGGCGTCATGTGGCCGTTTGGCGTTCCGCTGACCCGTCGGTGGCCCCTGGCGATCGCGGCCGGCCCGCGCAGGGCCGTAGATGTACCGGCGCCGCGCGGGAGGGGAGCGCCGGAAATGGCGGGGTCGGCAACAGCTGGCGAGGGACATGCGTTGCCCGAGGGTAAACTGCCTGCCGGCTCCAACTTTCAACGGATGATATTCTCGCGTCTTACTGTTACCGGCCGCAAGTGTGAGAGGCCGCCGGAGCTAGTGCTTGCGTGAGCGCAAGTGTGCCAGTGTAGCTGTGTGTTCTGGTGTGTATTTGCGTATGAATATGTAGGTAGATTTATTGTTGCGTGTCGTTATTGTTCCTATACCGTGCGCAATAGCATGAATGCTACTTCACAACATAACTAGGCCTTATCCAAAACGCTGTAAGCCGCAGCTAGTGTAATGAGGGTAGGGAAGTAGATATCACACCAAACACAACAATGACATCCGAGCATGCTTTTCTTCTATTATTGATAATTGTGATTGATGACGTGGAGAGGATCGCATTAACTGGGAAGATGATTGTGCGAATTCGTAATTGGTAGAGGCACAGTTCGTAGCATGTTTACACGCTGTTGTCCTGTAATATACACATGTTCACAACAAACTGATGTGCTGTTATAGATAGGAAAGTTGTGTACATATACCAGAGCCTGTGAATCAACTGTAATATACTGGGACTCGACAAGGTCATTTCGATTCCACGTTTTGCTCTTGCCTTGAGCTGATGCTCTGATCTGATCTGATCATGCGTCGAAGTGTAAAGTCCATCCATGAACGACACACTGTGCTTTTTTGTATTCGCTTAGCATGTTTATACGTGCGATTGACAGTAATGTCTATGCTGGATGCAATTTGCTAGCCGTCGATACGGCAGGATCGCAGTACGGCTTATTTGTTAGCCGTCAATGTGGCAGAATCGCAATGCGGCTTATTGCAATACGGCTTACTGCAATACGGCTTATTTGCTAGCAGTCGATACGGCAGAATTGCAATACGGCTTGTTTGCTAGTCGTCAATATGGCAGAATCGCAATGCACCCATCAGCGTACGTATGGCCAATCCAAATATCCGACCCACCATACGTCATCAGACATGCCATAAAACAGAAAAATGACACCTTACCAGCCAAGTTGGCGTCGAACAGCACTTCTTTGCCCTTGATAAGCATTCTGACGCACTCCGCAGTAGATGATCACTTTTCGGCGCATTGGTGCAAAGGCATAAAAAACAACACATCTTTTACCGTCACATGTCGCTGAAAAACATCTTATCCGTCACCCTTACTCTCGCTTGGGTCCTGGAGACACGGGCCCGCGAGTGATCTCGTCCATCTCCGCCCCAAGACGACAGAATCGGACCGATGATCATGTCGCAAGTGATTTCAAGCACGTTCTCCTTGCCTATTTGTCTGTCGTATCCATACACCGTGTGAAGATAGCTGTCACAACAGCGACGGATGCAAGTGGGCAGCAGGAAACGCGACGGCCTGAGCATAATTTGTCGCTTACCGCGGTCCTCAGCACATCAGAACCAAAGGGTCCTCGAGGTGAAACATTGAGGGCTCCAAGGAGAGTGCAGCGCTATTCCAAGGTGTTAACCGTCATATCAGCTGGGCTGCCCCGCCACTGAGGCCACCAGCTCTCTTTATCGGCCATCGCCGGCTGTCAAATGCAGAGAGCAGCTATTTCTGAACGGCCGTGATGGCGTCACCGGAACCACGGCTCGGGACTGATGGTGCGGAGATCCTCCGATTCAGTGCCGGCAGGAGCAGTGATGGCCACACACCACAACATGCCGTAATGGCGTCACCTGATCCACGGCTCGGGACTGATGGTGCGGAGATCCTCCGATTCAGTGCCGGCGGGAGCAGTGATGGCCACACACCACAACATGCCGTAATGGCGTCACCTGATCCACGGCTCGGGACTGATGGCACGGAGATCCTCCGATTGAGCGCCGGCGAGAGCAGTGATGGTTGCACACCACAGGCCGTGATGGTGTCACCTGATTCACGGCTCAGGACTGATGGCACGGAGATCCTGCGATTGAGCGCCGGCGAGAGCAGTGACGGTCGCCACCACAACGTGTGTTACGGACAAACGTCGGTGATGTGGACACAGGTGATTTTTGTACGAAAATAGGCCGTCTAAAAATACAGAGTATCCTTTCGCACAGTATGCTATCCATTGCTTTGGTTTTAACAAATGTTAGCTGATGTATTGATTTCCTTACCTGAAACCACTCATTGTGAAGATACGCAATTTTGGTGTTGAGGGCTTTACGATACTTCTGAATTTCTATCACCAGACGCTGCGGATTTTACAAAGGCTGTTCAACTGATAATGCATGAACAGCTACGCAATGTAGTGGGCCACATAAACAATGTCGGATATCATGTTTGATAGCAATAACTTTTTGAGAGGCTTGCGTGAATTTAAACAAAACATTAGGATTCTGGGCAACAGGAAAACAATACGGACAATTTCATAACAAACACAGATGATCTGGAAGCACCAAGACCATTTTATCTTAATTTTGACGACCCGCATGGTTGCAGAATGCGGCCATTGCGACCCGCTGGCTATACCACTGTCTTCGCCAGCCGCGGTCTGACTCCCAGGCCCAGTTGATAGCTAAGGAATACAGTGTTCCAAAGCACCATCACATCTACACCGTAATGACCTTGAGGCAGCGCCCACACTGGTCACGCTCAGCCACCCAGCCGCAAACTCGTGCATTGTGCTGCTACCTGGGTTGCCACGTCACCTCCCATCTGGCCTAGGCCTAACCTACCGTGCCTGCCACTCCTCCAGCGGGGCATCAAAGTGTCCACACTCGGCAGACACGAGGTACCTTGCGGGAGACGGGAAGTCACCTCCCCGTTCTGCAGTATTCACAGTGAGCAAGCGCTTCCACTTCTCTGCAAGCGGCTAGTGCACGACATTTTGCCGCTTTGAGCCGTGCCCATACTTATGACAAGCTGTGCTCTGTCCGGCAGCCTGTACCTCCCTTTTCTGCCATAAAATGCGTTGTCAAGGCCAGATTTCCTTGCAGACGTTTTTTTCGGCTCTGAAGCCCGGCTCCGATAGCGCGCGGCATGAACCACCGTCATGCCATTTTCCTTGTTGCCTTAGTTGATTCTGTTTTTTATTTCTACACCGAGTTTTAAGTGATGTCCGCCAGCAGACTGCAAGGATCCTGCACATAAAACGGATAAATATAGATTATCATCGTTTTAAATATAGCAAATCCAAGATAAGCACTCCCATCCGGCACTAAACTGTATTTGACCACAGGGAGGGGGCCACACTGCATACAGAGCAAAGCGATAAATATCGGCCGGTTACCGGCATCATTTAAGTAAAAGGGTCGTCACAGGTGTCGTCCTTTTGAGTCTTGCCCTAAAAATTGCGAACATTTTTCCCCCATAGAGAGGCGAAATGATGAACGCATCTTACAGTAAAATGTTTTCCATGGGGAAAGCAGAGGGAATGCACAACCTAGAGCAGATCATTCTGATTTGAAAGGTACAAATTAGGCACATATTCGAATATCAAATCTGTTTCTTAATAAATGTCATCCCGGCGTCGAAAAAATCACGAGCAAAATAATTAATTTCGCACCCAATTAGCCGTGTCACGATGTTAGTGCTACGGCAAAAACTCACCGGCAGGAGAGCTGCGACATCATTTAAACACGACATGATTCCTACCGGAAAGATTTATACAAGTCATGATTGCTACACGACAAACTTTGTGCTTCAAAAACTTACATCTGCCATTACATCTACTGCAAACACTTATACAGTCTTTACTTATATGGGACATAACTTCTAATGAAAAAAACCATATACTACATGAGTACTACGTGACGCAACTTATGCTGCAAAAACAAACAAACATATGCCCGTCATTACTTCTACAGCAAAGACTTGACCCAAGACTTTGTTGTAGCACAAATGTCGCGCATAATTCTTTGCAGCAGGAGTGATGTGTATGAGCAATGGCTGTACATGCTTTTTCAGTTGAGGTAATGACAAGTATAAATTTTTGAAGCAAAAGTCTTGTTATGTAGCACAACTGACGCATACAACTATTTGCAGCAGAAGTAATGACGAATATAAGTACTTGCGGTATGAGTTTTATGGCGTAACACTAATATCGTGTGCAAGCATTGACAGCAGAAGCAATATCGTAACACTCTTGTCAGTAGGAGTTTTTGTTGTAGCACTGATGTCGTGCAACCCTAATTAGCAATTTGTTTATTAAATTGAGGGCGAAATGACCTTAGTAGCCGGTATGCTCATAAGACCCTCAAACATCATCATGACGGGATGAATCATGTTGATAAACCCGGGCATGGGTACCCATTATAGGCAATCATGTCAAAAAGCAAATGAAGTAGGCATATTAGAGTGCAAGGACCGCAAGGCTGGGAAAGGAAACTGACATGGGAATCAGCGAAAAATAGCAAACACTATGCACGTGCGCATATGTAACCCCTCACATAAAGATCTGCCTGTGCACAATCTCTCTGAGTGACAAAGTGTTGCAAACCCGGCAAATGCTTGGCACAGATCTCTACCAATGTCCTATCTCTGACTCTCGGTGACTTCACCTTTCCCCAGTCCGCAACGCACCCGGAGATGTGCTGAAGAAATGTCACCTCCGTCATAGATTTACATGAGCATGAGGGGTGTCGGAATGGGATGAGTGAGCTAGGCGAAGATTTGTGTGTGCCGACCCTGAAATGAAAGGACGCCTTCGAGAGCCATGGCAGGTACAGTCGACGTGGTCAGCGGCCGTGGCGCGCTCGG